GGCCAAAATCTCAAACATTTGGTTTGTTAAGATACGATTGATTTTATGGTAGAATGAGGGAACTAAATTCAGTGCGTGGAGCGATCATGGGTACGTATTGCTGAAGGATCTTAAGACAGGTCAGAACAACTATTCTCATCCGCTTGCTACGAAAACTAGCTAAAAACGTTTTGAACCTCATTTTAACACGTTTATACAATACATGGCTGACTAAGTTGATTTTTGCACTAAAGATTCACTTGTTTTCAATTAAGACTTTCAGTGGGATCGTTTCAGTTTGATCATTTCAGCGTAACCGACTGAGGTAGACCATTTGGAACAAGATAAGTTAGGATGATTAATAATTAGTTTATATAGACTGTGTCAGAATAATTTTCTCCGTTAGTCAGAGATGTAACCATCGTACTATGACGGTCTTAAACATTTGTGAGGCAGTTATTACCGATCCACAATTTATATCCATGTTAATGTACTTCGCAATATGTATTTTGTATGTACAATTTATAAAGTGAAACTTTAACGTTAGATGATTGAAGGCAAACGGCAGTAAATCCTGAACGTAGATTACGGGATGTTAGTGTATCTTACATCTAGAAAGAACTGATATCCCTCCTAAGATTCTAACCTGCGTCAAAAAGTGCTGCACTCAGAAACGTTGTTACTGAGCGATTTGGTCTCATGATTGACATTCTGCGAGACTACAATGAACACAGTGATTGTTCACTGGAAAGTAACCAATGTCGCGTGCCATGTCCTTAGTGTTAGCACCATGAATTGTATGTGTCGACTTCGAGTTTCTACAAGAGGTCAATTGTGAACCTGAATAGGTCAGTAAAAATGTCTCTGACTGTAGGACTGGTTGATGGAGGTTCAAATCCCTAAAGAGACATCAGCTACTTTCAGTTTGCAGATAAGTACTGCTGACGAGTGCTAGCAAGATCTAGGACTTTATGCTGATTGCCTCCAACTATCTACTATCAATCCAAAGTGCACCGCGATGGTGAGTTACCAGACTAGGTGATCACACTACAAACTTAACTGATAGAACTCAGTCAGCACCAGCACAAAGGAGTAGACATACTGCAGTGGTTACTCCATAGAGGCCAATCAATGTAAGAGCGAAACTATTAATTGTATAACACAATAAATACATTCCTAACTTAATTTTATTTTGTATGTGCACAACTGCAGCTATACGAAAAGCTTGTATTTTTCATTGATATCAACTCTGTCGATCCCTGTAGCTAGGTTTCCCAATAAATGCTACTCATTAACGCGATGCACGGTAACCGCATGTTCCCTTGAAGAAATGAATCTGTATCAACGAATTCTAAATTTAGAATATTAACCGTTGGAATACTTGAAGTTAATTGTTACAGCCTAGAATTACCAACAGGAAAACACAGGCAAATAAATCCAGTAATTCATTATATATATATATATATATATATAATATATATATATATATACGTTAGTGGTTCAGTCTGAGTTCGATTACCTGCCCGCGCACTACTAAACCTTGATTAGCCGGTAGTAAGCTCGGTGAAGAGCGAAGGCTGGACATGAGGCTAGCAAGCCTACCGCATAAAAACAGCATCGTAGCTACCAAAACTTCAAAGTTCCACTCAAGACTCAAAGAAATTTTTTAAAAATTCCTTTACGTTCCCAGTGGAACATAGGGCTTCAAGCTACAGGCTTGGAGTTTTGGTAGCAGTGGTGTTTATTTTTACGGGATGGGGTTACTAGTCTCATGCCCAACCTTCCCTCTTTACTAGTCTTATTACTGGCTTAGTGAGGTATAGGAGTGCATCGGCCGAGGATCGAACCCCGGACCACATGCGTGGTCGGCGAGCATTCTACCGCTGTACCACCAATGCACATTCGAAGAAATGATATATACATATACGTTGAGTTGCATGGATTTGATTGATTCCAAGGTAGATACCATCTGGAACTTACAAAAGTTAAGAATCACTGAAAACCACTAAGTGTTGAACACATTTTTCGTCCTGGTTCGGTATCTTTCATCACTGAACATCTACATTTCCACTAGGGATAGGATTCACCATCTACAGGTTACCAGGCAGGCCCGTTAGCCATTCAACCACCAGACTGTAATCCAATGACCCGTAAATTCTAACCCCTGTCACTTCGCGATGTAACTCTACCACAAGCCATTACCATCCGTCCCCACACCCGACTCTTAGTAACTGATGATAAATTGAACTACATGGAGTGGTAATGAAAAACTGTAGCCAATAACATTCACAAAATCGGGTGTGAGAAAAGTTACTCACTGATAACAGTGGATAAGACTGTTACTATGTTTGGAGCTAATAGGAATTACAAATCACCAGCCAATGAATTCGTACTCATTTGTTAACTGGCAACGTGTTCCCTTTGAAACCTAACAAGTCCATCTCTTATGTACTCATAGATATTAAGTATTGGCGAGTTTCAAGACAGGAGAAACACAACTATTTGATTTTGCTTAGTTTACAGTAGTTCCTTTAACTGACACCAATTTCATCAAACAAAAAGAATCGACGCTGTTAAGCAAAATACACGATGAGTATCAGTGGATTCAAATCGAATACTGTAATGTGTACTACGTGCGTCGGTGGCATAGCGGTTAGGATGCTCGCCGACCATGCACATGGTCCGGGTTCGATCCCCGACCGGCGCACTCCTTTACCTCGCTAGGCCAGAAATAATTCTGGTGAAGAGGAAAAGGTTGGGCATGAGGCTAGCAACCCCATCCTGTAAAATAAGCACTGCTACAGAAACTTCAAGGCACAAGCTTGAAGCCCTATGTTCCACTGGGAACGTGAAGGAAAGAAAAAATGTGTACTACGGCATATCGAACAATGCCTTCAAAGAAATAACGATAGTTTATAAGTCAGTAGAAAAGCTATTGAAGAAGAAGAAAATAGGCGTAAGAAGACGTCAACAACTCTCAGAATCATCTAATAAGCAGTAGACTACGACGAGCAAAACACGCCTAATACAGAACGAATGATACTATTTGTAAATTGTAAAAGCAATAGAAAGTTTTATGATTTTCTTAATATCTATTATATTTCATTCCAATGAAAACGTTAGATCTACCCTCACCAGTGTATATTCTCCTCAACATAACTAAAAATTATGTGCTTTCATTTCCTTTATTAAGTATGTGTTACAACAACACTTGAACAGTATCGTATACAATAACTGCGTAACAGCCGACCATAGAGAGAGAGAAAAGACTAATCGATTTTGGATAGGGTTAAATATGCAAATATGTAAACAGTCATTAGCGGAATGGTCACTTACTCAAGACATCTTGCTTTTCCTAATAAAATTACAAAATAATTATTTATTTGTGGGAAAATATAAAAATAACATTTAAGTAAATTACTATTATTACTTTAGATTATTGAGATTAATTTCATTGTAGATTTAGTCACGAATTAACCGATGTTATTTTATGACGATATCTGTATTGACAATAATAATAATAATAATAATACTATTATTGTTATTCAAGTGTTGGTTTGTAGAGATTTGATTGATTTGTTACAGGATTTCATCATCGGCCGACATCGGTTAGAGAACCATTGGAAAGCCTGGGAGTACTGGACAGCTGTTTCATCCGCCTAGTTTGGGACTCTTCATCAGCACACACCCACTACAACGGTTCGAACCCAGGACCTTCTGGTTACAAGATGAGCTCGTAAACCATTAAGCCACTGGGACCCAATCCAATGGCCAGTCCATGAATTCCAACTTCTGCCAATTCACAACATAGCGCGACCACTAGTCAATGTCTTCAGCGAGTATTTGTCCTCACACCCGACCTTCTGTACCCTACTGGTCACGACTTCCCAAACTAGGACGAAACAGCTGTCGAGTACTCCCAGCTGGTTTTCCAGTGGTTCTCTAACCGATGTCAGCTGATGATGAAATCCTGTAACAAATTATTGTTGTTATTATTATGATTACTATGAAAAATCAACAGTTCAGTGAAATTATTTAAGTGTTTGTTATATTTAGGCGGGTCACATGAAATGAAAATCTACAAATAAAATGTTACATGTTTAATTTCTCTTGAATATTTACAGACTTTGAAATGTTGTTTATACTAATCAATTCTTAAATAATATCAGTATCATATTAAGGTCTAGTATTGACAGAATAAAATTAAAACGCTATAGTATGTAATAAGATATCCTGATGCATCACAATACCCTCTAAATTCAGATGTAAAGTATCGAAAAGTGAATAATTTTACATACATCAGTTAAGCATAAATAATGAAAACAACCGTTGAATTGATTTCCCTTGTCTTAAAACATTATCTCCAGAATACAAAGAATCACTAATCATAGAGAAGATCTGCAGTTCAGGTGGATGATTTTTATGAGGTTGTTTTTCTGTAAGCTGGGTGGTTTAACTGCGAAACTTTCATTGTCTTTCTAGGCAACATATTCAGAGCTTACTTTAATGTGTATTTAACTTCACAATACAGTTCTATTTGATAAAAGTTAAGCTTAGATAACAGTGAAACTGGAGTCATACACACATATACACACACACGCATACGTATTCACTAACATTTATTCGTCTTGGTAAATCACAGAAATAGGGATGACAGTTAGTTGATAGACGGAAGCGAGCCAGGCTTAATTGGTCAGTAGGGTCCACCATTTCAAGGTGAAGTGGGTAATCATCGATGGCATTGGCTGATGGTAACTCTATTTCACGAATTAACAAAGTTATTGAATTTCTGCCCTAAGTGGCTAAATGGTCAACTAGCATGACCATGTGAAATTCCTTGAGGTCCGATCCCTGGTGAGGCTGGTAGGGTTGTGCACTCCTGAAGAGCCCCAAACTAGGACGAAATAGCCAACCAGTGTTCCCTGGTATTCAATCATCCACTAACTGATGTTGGTTTGTCACAAAATCAGCTATTTTATTTAAAAATAATAATAATAAAATAATAAAAAGGAAATACATACCTTGCAGGCTTCGCACACATATGCATTACAATGAAATCCAGCAGCTACATCACCGCATATATCACACGGTTTTCTGTCTTTTATATTCAAAGCACAAAGTGTTGCTCTATGCTGTGTCATTGACATTGGTGTTATCGGTGAAGTCATGCTATTTATACCATCATTACTACCACTGTTATTGCTGTTATTATTACTATTATTGAATAGAAATGCACCTGAATGATATTTGGCATTGAATGCTTTCAAATTATTTGTTAATTTTTGTGTATTTGTTATAGAGTTGCGATGATTCAAATGTTTATAGTAAATATATCGATTTCTGTTACAATTGGATTGGAACAATGTTGGTAGAGTTGATAATAGCAATGGTGATGATGATGTGGATGGAGGTGTTGTCGTTGTTGTTGTCATTGTTAACGAAGGTGATGTGAATGACTGAGTAGTAATCATTGGCAAATTACCATTCATATTATTACCATCATCCTCATTAGTATTAGTAGTAGTAGTAGTATATGGAGAAAGATTTTCAAATTTCTCTATTGATAAGTATTTATTACTTAAATGATATTGTGAATATTGATTAATTAATGGCTGTCGTGGTGGTTGTGGCGTTGGTGTTGGTAATGCCTCAGCATCTGATGTACTATAGTAGGTATGATTATCTCACCGGTTGTCATCAATAATGTCTCCGATATAGACGGTGGACATGAATTCATAGTTATTCTCCGCCTTCTCCCCCCTGCACTCTCTGAATTAACATCTGGTAATTGTACTAATCCGCATTGATTATGAGATGAATGCAAATGTTCTGATTGAATATTATTCATTTGATGATTTTGATGCTGTTCCTCTTGTTGCTGTTGTTGTTGCTGCTGATGGTGATAAGTAGAAGGATGAAAAGGATGATGCAGATGGTGGGGATGATGAGAATGATGAAGGTGTTGTTGACATAAGACATTTTGACTTAATAAGTTTAAACTTATATTTGACTCATTTATATTATCTTCAGTTTGGGATAAAACACTTTTAGGCGATGTGATTAACATTAAAGAATTTGAAGTTAATGACGATGGTAACGATATATTGCTACTAATATTGGCGTTATTTTGATTCCATGGTGACAGCATAACATTCTCATAGATTAACGATGATGGATTGGAATGGCACGTTTCATCATATTGATCAGAATGATTTATGAGGGTGAAGAGGATGAGTAAGATGATCATGATTGATGATGGTGAGGAAGTGGAACAGGATGTTGTTGATTGTCTCGATGATTTCCAGGATGCGGTGTATGTGGAACTTGTAACTCTGTCTGAGATTGATGATGTGGTGATACTGTTGTTGTTGTTGATGATGATGGTGAAGGATCACTGATGGAGGTGTTAAAGTTGATGTTGATGATAAAGAATTACACAAAGATTGATCCTGATCTTCAAGATGATTGTACAGCATGATGCTTTAGGAGTAGGGGGGGGGATGTCAACAGAATAATAGTAATAATAAATATAGTAATTTATCGAAACAGAGAATTGTTTAGTCCAGTAAACGGGAAATTTAATTTAAGGTTTATTATTTTCATCACGTTGACGATCATTTCTGCGAAGTAAAAAGAGAAAAACATACATTCCCATTATAGATTTATAGAGTTCTTAATATTTTCAAGAACAGATAATGGCAAGAGGATTGCTGAAAACTAGAAGAGATTTGAATAAATCAAGAACAACAGTGGTTTGTGCAGAATAAGATGGTACCATTATTTATTTCGTTGGCTTCTCGTCAGCTGCTTACAGCCTAAATAAAATATTATTAAGTATCATGTACAGGAAAGTTTGAACATACCTGCAAATTTTACATGATGTCAGTTGACAGGAGGTTCCGGACATCATGTAAAGTTTGCAAGTATGTTCAAACTTCCCTGTACATGATACTTAATAATATTTTATTTAGGCTGTAAGCAGCTGACGAGAAGCCAACGAAATAAATAATGGTACCATATTATTCTGCACAAACCACTGTTGTTCTTGCTTTATTCAAATTCATAAAGGGGAATAAATGTATGAAGTTTCTAGAATAACTGTTCGATTCTCCTGGTTTGAGTTTATTCAGTAGTACTCACTCATCAAGAGTAGGATTAATCTATTTAGTACTTTATTTGGTTTTCGGTGATTCTGTAACTGATTTAGGTTCTTGATAAGACCTACTCTGATAAGAAAACAGCTCAGTATGAAATCTTAAACGCTGTTTTACGTTTATACGTAGAATAACTTATCTTTAAACTTGATTTTAAGCTGTATTAATTGTGTTAAAATGGCTAATCAAAAGAAATCTTGAAAGCTGAAAAAGAATGGTTATTGAACAAAGAATATTCTTTTCGATAACCCCTTCTTCATCAGCTTCTACAGTTATATACACATAATAGTGAATGAATTAGTGTTATTAACAACATTAATGTTGTTTAAATAACATCGAATCAATAATGTCAATGGATTACAATTCGATAGCATCAACATAGCAATACACACTGAATATCAGAGAAATTAGGAAAAGTAATAATACAAATTCACGAATTTATAGTCTGAAGGCCGGTCAGGGCAGTAGTAATGGCTGGATTTGATTCTCCTGCACACACAGCACCGGTTGTTTAACGCGGATCACAATGGCCTCTGCTGTACTTCGATGTTTTTGGCAATTTGTTTGGTACCCGATAGATGATAGAGAAGGATTCTTCAATGCTGGTTTTGTGGCAGCTCTAGGAACTTGATTTTTCGTGCTCGAGAACATCTTCCAGTATGGCTAAGTAAAGGTGTACTAAAAACCATCAACAGTTCGATATTAGACCATCTGGTTCAAACTGGCCACAAAGCCAGCATTGAAGAATCCTTCTCTATCATCTATCGGGTACCAAACAAATTGCCAAAAGCATCGAAGTACCGCATACTCCAAACAGCTGAGGCCATCGCTATTCGCCTAAAACAACCGGTGCTCTGTGTGCAGAAGAATCAAATCCAGCCATTACTACTGCCCTGACCGGCCTTCAGTGGAACTAAAAATTCATGAATTTGTATTATTATTCTTTTCCTAATTTCTCTGATATTCAGTGTGTATTGTTATGTTGATGCTATTGAACTGGAATCCATTGATATTATTGATTCGATGTTATTTAAACAACATTAATGTTGTTAATAACACTAATTCATTGACTATTATGTATATATAACTGTAGAAGCTGATGAAGAAGGGGTTATCGCAAAGAATATTCTTTGTTCAGTAACCATTCTTTTAAAAAAAATTTAATGGGCATTTTTAATCAGTTAAAAAAATACCAAAAAGCATGTTAAATAAGCGTAAAAGACATTACCATTAACAGATCTAAAGTATTTTCCTCATAAAGTCATCTCTTGTTCTAAAGCCTATTCATAAGCAGTATAAAAACTATATACTACTGATTGATTGAGATGAGTAGTTGTATAACGCTTACACTTCACACAGGTTTATGCAATTATGCTCGCTTTCTCAATTCCCACTTATGGTATCAAGCAGATCGCATCCCATATATTGTGATCCAAAGGGAACTGTGGGGAAATTTCACCTCCTTGAACTGTGTAAACATTAAATCCACTTTTAATTGAATTTTAGATTTTCCCGTCGATTGATTGGACCGAAGTGCTCGGTCTCAGGTTGACGACGGGAAAATCTAAAATTCAATTAAATAATAATATGACCCGTTGCACAAGAGGTGGTGGCTCTCGTGGCCCAAGTGGTCTAGTGGATAACGCTTTGGCTGGTGTTTGAAACTATGGGCACTGGGTTCGAGCCTCGGTGGGAACATCATCACTCACTGAGAAATGCAGGCAAATCGAGGTGACGAGTCCCAAATAGGACGAAATGCGCATCCTGGATTCCACTGCTAGTCACCATCCACCAATTAAATTAAATCCACTTGCAAATGGCGAATCTACTTTAAAAAAAGGAGATTTCAATTACCTTCTATCTTATCTTTCAATGTTATGACTTCATTTTATCAATTAGTTCAAAAAATTCCAGGTTGTAATTTTTTCTTTAACTGTATAAATTGAGTTATTAGTAATTTTTTCTACTTACAGGTTATTTTATTTTCTAAAGCGGAATGGTATTTACTACTGATCAGAATAAGTAGTTAGAAATCACACACACACACATCAAACAGTAGTTCTTGCCGGTCAGACTGGAAACCGTTTTCTCTCATTAAGTCTCAAAGTCAACAGTGATATACGAAGTTAAAATCGTCTCAGACAGAGTTCAAATCACTGAAATTCCTGTAAGCTGCTTGTGAGGACTGGTAATATACAAAAGCAAACTTGTTATTCTGGGATGAAGATTCATCATAATTTCCCCCTAGAAATGCATAACAATTGCATAATTGTATAATTTGCAAATGATAAATTCAGTTTCATGATTTTTTAAATTTTTGTGTTCTTTTTCGTAATATTGTAACAAAATGAATCAGTGAATAATTAGACCCTCCCATCTTTAAATCGTGGAATCTAAGCTGAGTACTACAAATAACTCCTATTATCTTTAACCCTCAAAAATCAGTATTAGAGGATTAATGAATGCACATTTGATATGAAAAGTATATCTCCGAAAGAATATTTCTGAAAAATAACTTGAGCTCATCCTATTAAAGAAAACATGCAAACAGACTCATCTGGGACATCGTATCACTAGAAATTAGCATAGTTTTTAACATTAAGAAAAGTGGTTGCAGAATCATCAGTAATCGAAGACATTACGAGGTAGAGACAGAGAGGAGAACAAACATCATCGCCCATACACCCCAATAACAGTCTGTCAACCAAAGACTATTCGAATTAGTGTTACCATTAGCTATCAACTTGCTTTTCCTCTTATAATTCAAAGTTAGCGGGAGAGAACCTCTCTGGGCAGCTAGTGTAATGATAAACAGAGAGTGACGTGTCATCCATTCGCTTGACAACTGGGTATTAACTGTGATGGCTGTAGTGTAGCGATAACCTGGCCAACCATTGGTTCTCATAGCTCAACTGGTTGAGTGGTGGACTATTGGTCAGAGGCCGTTAGTTCGAATCTTGGAGCGACAGAAATTTTCATTTCATTTCCAGTCATCCCTCATTACATCAGTAACAGTCTGTCAATCCAAGAATATCTTAAATAGCCTACTCATGAATAAGTAAAGAAAACAAAAGTCAGTAAAATAGTTAAAAAAAAATCGAAAATGGAGTTATGTCATTAAAAATAATTATTTTCACAGGTTTCTAGCAGTTTGAAAAATTCATTTATGTAATTCATATTGTTTGTCCTGGTGAAGCCCTTTGTTCCCCTCGGAACTCAAGGAACAAATAATAATAATAATAAAATTCACATGGTTCAGGTAAAAAGTTAGGGACTATACGGACTAATTTCGGTCCTTTCTGTATTCCTCCTTAGTTTGTTTCACCGTCCTGATGTTTTCATCTCTTATCACAACCCCATTTAAACATAACGCGTCTTCTTTGAGAATCATATTTTCGCATGTATCTGTTGTGATTCGTTAATTGTAATTGATCATTGATTACTGGTTGTGACTTGAAACTACATTTAAATCGATTAGGTGTTCAGTTAAATGTTTAATTACCCTGTATTAAAATGCGATGTGATGTTTACATATTTAAATCGAATAGAAGTCGAAATAGCTACTGCTACTTAAGTTCATATAAGGCCTGATTGGATGACATGTTCCTATTCCCTAAAGAGCCACAGTATAGCAATGACTTTCCACATTAATACCAATCTACTTCCATCGTCGTTGTAATGTCGGTGGTTTGAAAAACCAAAAAGACATCTTTAAGTACTACACCCATTTTTAGTTCTTAAGAATCTATTCAACACAGAAAACAGAGATTATCGCCAGATGAAGAAATCAGTTGGACTGTGCATTTTCCATTCTAAAAATCATTGCTGACTTCATAACAACAAGCCTACAAAACAATAGTCATCGAA